GTGGAAATAAGATGGGATATTTTAAAGCAACTTGAGATTCTTAACATCAGTAGGAGACCTCATAAAAAATAAAAAAACATCAATTCACAAAAGAAAATAATGGGGGAAAAGCTCAGGAGTCTGCTTAGGTAATTGCAGCAACACAGTGAAGCAACAAATCTGACAATAACCAGGCAAAAATGGTGTGAAGAATGGTTTCATATAGGCTGCATCATTTTACTCTATCAATAGTGAAAAATTTCTTAATAAAGAATATATAGCACCGGACATTTCCTGGTGAATTCTACCAAATATTTAATGAATTAATTCCAATTATTCTCAAGCCCTCCCCAAATATTAAGAACACCTTCAAACTCATTTTATACCAGGTTAGCATTACCTTAATATAAAAGACAAGGCCACTAAGAAAAAAAGAAAATTATATGCAATATCTGAGATTAACATAAATAAAAAAAGAAACTTCAATAAAATACTATCAAAACAAATTCAATTAGCACATTAAAAGGATTATAAAACCATGATGCAGTGGATTTATTCCTGGGTTCAAGAAAAGCTCAGTATACATAAATTGATAATTGTGATACACCATATCAATAAAATTAAAGATTAAAAAATATTATCTCAATAGCCACAGATTAAGCATTTGACAGATTTCAACAACCTTTGAAGCCAAAACTCTCAAACAATTAGATACAGAATGAACATACCTGTTCATAATAAAAACCACATGACAAGCTCACAGATAATACTCAATATTATTCAACAAATACTCAATAAGCTGAAAACTTTTTTTTTAGACCAGAAACAGAATACATAGGTACTTATTCTTTCCATTTTTATTCACTATAGTACTGGAGGTACTACCTAGAACAATTAGGCAAGAAAAGGAAATAAAAGGCATCCAATCCAAAAAAAGAAGTAAAACTGCCTTTTCTTGAAGATGATATAACCTTACATGTAGAAAACCTTAAAGAATACCAAAAGAGTCTATTAAAACTAATAAGTTAATTCAGTGAAGTTGTGGAATACAAGATCAACACAGAAAAATATATAGCTAATCTATAAATAACCATGAACTTCTTAAAGAGACACTGAAGACAATTTCATTTACAATAGCAACAAAAACAATACAATACTTAGGAATGAGAACCATCGAGAGAAAATATATATTCAAGTAATTAGTGAAGGCACAAATAAACTAACAGATACTGCTTATTCAAAAACTGGAAGAATATGGTTAAATGTCCATTCAACATAAGTGATTTAAGGTTCAAAACAATCTCCATCAAAATTCCAATGGTAAATTTCATAGAAATAGGGGGGGGGGGAATCCAGAATTTGTTAATAGCCAGAAAAGACATCAAGTACTTAAAGCAAAATTATGTAAAAACATAGCTGAAGGAGGGCCTTCCCTAGTGGTGCAGCAGGTTAAAGAAGCGCACTAGGAAACAAAAGCCACTTCAGCATGAGTTCGATCTCCAGCCCCAAAGCTGATCCACATGGCATGGCAGAACTCTCCTGGTCACCTGCTGTTCCCCTCAGCAGTGTACTTCGTAGATCTGCCTGTTCTGCTCCCCACTCTGTTTCTGGTAAATCCTCTCTCAGCCCCTGCACCTCTGGCCTGTACCCCATTCTGTATGCATAAATAAATAAATCTTTAAAAAAAATAGCTGAGGCCCTCCCTGGTGGCGCAGCGGGTTAAAGCACTGCACTGAGAAGCTAAAGCTACTTTCGCATGAGTTCAAATCCCGCCTGCCCCGGAGGAGACCACATGGCGAGGCAGACCTCTCCTGACCCGCCCGCTGCTCCCCTCAGCAGTGTACTTCGTCGATCTGCCTGTTCTGCTCCCCGCTCTGTCTCTGGTGAAGCCTCTCACCGCCCCTGAGCCTCTGGCCTGTACCCCAGTTCTGTATGTACAAATAAATAAATCTTAAAAAAAAAAAAAAAATAGCTGAAGTCATTTCTTAATTTCAAATTATATTACAAAGCTACAGAAATCAAAACTATGTATTACAGGCATGAAAACATACATATAGATTTGTAAAACTTAATCTAGCATCTAGGAAGAAAAAAAACCTATGCATATAATTCAACTAATTTTCAAAAAACTACAAGATATAACTTGAGGAAAAGATATAGTTTTGTCAATAAAAGATGTTGGGAAAACTGGATATCCACATGCAAAAGAATGAAGTTAGATATTTATACACAAAAAAGCAACTCAAAATGGATTATGTGAATTAAGAACTGAAATTATAAATCTTCTAGTAGAAAATATAGAGAGAAAGCTCTCTGACATTAGTCTTGCCATTGACGATTTGGAAATGATATCAAAAACACACTAGTAATGAATTATACAGAAAGAGGTAGGAGAGGAATATATTCTCACTTAAGGTAGCAGCAAAAATAGTTAAATACAGGGAAACAAATTTAACCAAGGAAGTAAAAAAAGTCTTTACTGTGAAAATTATGAGGCATTAATGAATGAAATTAAAGAAGATACAAATAAATGGAAAGACATCTCATGCTCATCTGTTCAAAGAATTAATATTGTTAAAATGACAGAACTATCAAAAGCCACCTATGGATTCAATGCAATCCATATGATGATTTCAATTTTTTACAGGCGGCGGAAAACAATCCTAAAACTTGCATGGAACCACAAAGACTCCAAATGTAGGAGACATTATCCTTCCTAATTTCAATCTATATTAGAAAATTATAGCAATCAAAACAGTTCTGATATAAATATATCCGCAGACCAGTAGACCAGACCTAATTTATGCTTATATGGTCAACTAACTAGTATTTAATAAGGGAGCCAAAAATATTTAATGGCAAAAAAGCAGTGTCTGATATTTTAATGATGCTGGGGGAAATTATATATTCACCCGTGAAATAATGGAACTAGATAACTTAAACCAATCACACAAATTAACCTAAAGTGAAAAAAACAATTTAAATGTAAAATCTGAAGCAACAAAATTCCTAAAAAAACACACACACACAGGAGAAATGCTGGCTGACACGGAGGACTTGTCAATAATTTTTTTGGATAGGAGACCTAAAATACAACAAACACAGCAAAAATAAACAAGTGGGACTACATCAAACTAAGAAGTTTTCGTACAGCACAAAAACATTCACAAAATAAAATGACAACCAAAAAATGGTGGGGGAGAATGAGTTCAACTTCATCTGAAATAAGTTCATATAAAATAATTCATGTAACTTAACAGCAAAAAATAATAATCTAACTTAAGCAATGGGTAAAAAACCTGGAGAAATTTTTCCAAAGAAGAAAAATGACCAATGGATACATGAAAAGGTCAAACACTATTCATTAGGAAAATGAAAATCAAAATGAGGTATCATCCCATACCAGTTAGAACATCATCAATAAAAAAAAAATAAAAAAAAAAAACAAGGGATAAAAATGCTGGTGAGGATGTGGAGTAAAAGGAAGTCATATGCACTAGTGGAGAAAATATAAATTGATACAGTGATTACAGAAAATAGTATGAAGATTCCACAAAGAAGTAAAAATAGAATGACCATCAGTTCAGCAATCCCACTTATGGTTCCATATTCAGAAAGAGTAAAATCACTACCTCACAGATATCTACGCTCCCATGCTCACTACAGCATTATTCCAAGTAGACATGTACACACACTAACGGCTATTATTCAGACTTTAAAAAGAAGGAAATCTTGCCCTTTTAAAGAAGAGATATGAATCTGTAAGGCAAAGTGAAATAATCAAGACACAGAAAAGAAAATATCATATCTCACTTACATGTAGAATAAAAAAAAAATAAACTTAGCAACAGAAAATAGACCAATGGTTACACAAGAATGAAGGTAAGATACAACCTTAATTTTATAAGTGAATAAATTCTGAAAACCTAATGTACAGCAAAGTCACTGAAAGTAATGATAAAGTACTATCTATTTCAAATTTGCTAAGCAATGCATCACAAGGATAAATATGGGCAGTCATAAATATATTCATCAGTTGGATTCTGGTAATTACTTCATTCTGTACTATCAATACCCATAAACATGTTGTATTCCTAAATACATAATTTTTTTATTTGTCAAACAAAAATAATTATGTTAAAGAAAGCAATCTAAAAACATCTATTTAAAAAAAAAATTATAGTTCATCCCATGAATCTGTTCCTGGGACTCTGTATCATAAAAAAAGCTCTAGCAAGGATAGCAGCCCTTAGCCCCGCCTGTGCCTACAAGGAGCTTCTGGTCACAGACCCTCTGCAAAGCAGCAGCGGCCTCTCTCCTCCCGCGTGGGGTGAGGCAGGCTCTCTTTCAGCAGTTCTGTCCCTTCTGGGGAGATCTTTCTTCCCGCTTGTGCCTGTACAAGTGGGCTTTACTTTTCTCTCCTGTCCTTTCAGATATATACAAAAAAAGCACTAGCATGTAGTAATACGTAGAATAAAGGTAGTAGCATAGTATTTTAGCAATATTTGAGAAGAAAAAATAAAAAAATGTTAGTGCACAATGATAATGGCATGGCTGAACAAAATATGTTCATATATGTTTACCGCAGCATTATTTGAAAACATTTTGGAGACAAAAAAAAGTTTAGGATAAACAATACGAAAATCTAAGAATAAATTATGTGTAATCATTACCACAGAATATTAGACAAAAACTTTTAATAGATTTTGCAAAAACTGAAATAGGTTTGTCCCAGCTGACTCAGACAAGTATTGGGTGAAAAGAAAAATCCAGCAGAGGGTGATTTGGCTGCTGAAGGGTCAAAAGGAAGTAGGAATAGGAAAAAGATAGACTAAAGTGAAGAAGAAAATAAAGTGCACCAAAAAAATAAAGTGTGCAATTAAACTGGTTATGTGAAATTGTATATACTGACTTATTTGTATGCCTAATAAAAAGTTTAGGAATTTGGGTGGTGTTTTTGTTGTTGTTGTTGTTGTTTTCCTCTCTCACAAGCAGATAATCTATTCAAAAGTAGATCTGACAGCTGGCTGTGCCTCTGTGTTCGGAGACATCCTGAACCTTTCCAAATAGGCCTCTGAGCCCAGAGATGCAATCAGGCAGTGAGGTCCAGATGTCAGCAGTCCTGACAAAGTCCTTCCCCCTGGAGGGGGAAGAAAGGTGAAAGGCAACTAGAAAAAGTGCTAAAATACAGATAACCTTGTTTCAAGGGAAAGGGAGAACTGGGACTAGGGAGAGCTGTACATGAAATTATTGTTTAGTATCATAAACCTTTCTAGATTCTTCCATTTGTTAAAAGGTATAAGAACTACTTTGATAAAAATAAAACCCTGGGTCCTCCCTGGTGGTGAAACAGGTTGAAGTGCAGCACTATCCACAGTAACTGCAGCACAAGTTTGATGCCCAGCCAGGGAGCTGACCCACATGGCACAGCAGACCTCTCCATACTCATCCACTGTTCCCTCAGCAGCGTGTTTCAAAACATCTGCCTGTTCTGCTCCCCATTCTGTTTCTGGTGAATCCTCACCCCCCACACCTCTGGCCTGTACCCCAGTTCCTGTATGCATAAACAAAACATAAATCTTTAAAAAATACATAACCCTGATGAAGCCTATCATATATCCTATTTATTTTTGGTGAATCAAAGGACCAAATATTATACATTATGTACTTTCGTGTTTCAGATATGCAACCTCTTTTCCTGTCCACTATCACATGGGATTTTTCAGTGATAATGGGGAAAAGGGATTAGGGTACAAGGACAAATACTTGCCTTAAACTAAAAATTTGGCTCAACTGAGTGCAACCACACTGAGGTTTGCTGATTCTTTCTATACCACCCAATTCTCATAGGAAGCATCAAGGGGATTCACAGAAAGCAGATAAGAAAAAGTTTGAGAAAATAATAAAGTACTCAATCACTACTATTATTAATGCTATGAAAGATGCTAACATTTACTGAATACCTACCATGACTAGACCTTGTTGTAAGAGCCCATGTTATTCCCCCAGCAATCACCTATCTACCCAATGTGCTCCCCCTCTTCGGGTGACAACTCTCTCGCAGTGTTTGTAAGCTAAAAATCTGGGGGCCACAATGGACTCCTCACCTACATCTAATCAGTCAGGAAACCCCACTGGCCCCACTTTCACAATATATCCAGAATACAGTCCCTTCTCACTGCTTACATTGCTACACCCTTGACTCCAACTACATTGTTGCCCACCCAGTTTATAATGGCCGCCCTGCCAGGTACCCCATGGCCTGTTCTCCACACCAAGCCACAGTAACAGTCTATTCATGCCAATCCTCTACCCAGGCCCTGCCAGGGCCCCCAGCATAAACACATACTCTTCACAAAGGATCGTCTCTTCTCCCTCACCCCAGTCTTTCTAAGACTTCATAACCTTGTTTGACCTTGTCCTGTTTTATTTACTGATGTACTCAAATGCCTACAACCCTGCTACACAAACACTGGACTCCCTACAATTAATTACGGAATAAAGAAACTAGATTATTACATAACAGATAGAAGATGACCAATTTGAAATTATGCCACTGCATTTACCTAATCAATAAACTTTGTAAATCTACTGAAAGCAAAATACCCCAAAAGAGGATCCCACCTTACCACAATTAATGATCTACTTTCAATTCTCCAGTACCTACACTATATTTAAAAGACTGCTTAGTGAACATCCATGAGATTATACAAGAGACTAGAAAAGATCACTTACCTGACATCTTGCAAATGTAATTTCATAAAGTTATAGTTTCTTCAAGACAAAGAAGAAAGAAGTAGCTCATTCTTTACAAAATTTACTGTTCTCAAACCTTGACACGAGATTTCTTTTCCTAATGTCTGTTCCATTACTTTATAAAATATTACATGACAATGTTACCTCCAGGGTCACCTTAAATACTGATAAATGGTCATTATTCATGAACCCACACTCTGGTCTCTTCCATCATGTGATTCTAGATTAGCTGGCAATCTGTCTTATTTCTATTCCTCATACTCCAATTTCCACAGATGTAACCCAATTTTTTTTTTTTTTTTGGCAAAAACCATCAATACACTTGTCCCTAAGGGGAAAAGGGAAATGTGTGTGCAGTGTGAAGACATACATAAGGCAAAAAAGCCCAGGGTCAGGGGAAATTTCTCTCTCCTTTTTAAGCATGTATTATTTAAAAGTGTTATGTCTGACACAAAACTTGTGACATGTGGGCCTAAATATCCCATTACTGTTCTCAGTGCCAAAAAATATGCACTGAAATGTTTGATGTATTAATTTTAATGACAAACAAAAAAAAATGACTAGTGGTGGCTGCACTTGAAATGCTTGAGGTAACTTTCACTTTGGGGAGAGTAAAATAATTAGACACCTCAAAAACTGAGATGTAGGGCCCTTCTTGGTGGCCCAGTGGGTTAAAGCACAGCACTAAGAGGCTAAAGCCACTTCAGCATGAGTTCGAACCCTGCTCCAGAGGTGACCCACATGGCACAGCAGACCTCTCCTGACCCGCCCGCTGCTCCCCTCAGCAGTGTACTTCTTCAGTCAGCCTGTTTTGCTCCCCACTCTGTCTGGTGAATCCTCTCATCACCCCTGCACCTCTGGCCTGTACACCAGTTCTATATGCACAAATAAATAAATCTTTAATAAAAAAAATAAAAAGTAAAGGTTACTGTTTTGCTCCACAACAGTTAAATACATTACATATTACATGGACAGTCTAGATTCCTTGTGTTGTTTTGTAGTATAACCCACACGTTTGTTATCTGCAACAAAGGAGGAGAAAAGAGCAAGGCATTGCAATGTTATTTCTTTCCTATGGTTTTATAATGAATACTGAACAGCGCAAACTTGAACCCAAATACTTGTAGTTTCAAAACTGGCACATTCACAGAACTCATTAACCATTTTTTTCTCTTCAGTTTGGCTTAAATATACATGAATTCAGAAACAAGAATAAATTTAGATCCTGCTATAGTACATGAAGATGGTTCACTTTCTGAACTTTTGTACATGCTGCAGTGGACTAACAAGGAAGCAAAAGCTGCTCCTGAGAGCAGTAATGTAAACAGTGGCCTTCCCTAAGTAAAGTGTTTCTTAGCATGTACTTACCTATTCTTTTTCAGAATAAGAATATAATCCCAGCCAAATATATCACCAATGCAGGGCTAATATGAAAGCGCATGTGTTTGTAACAAATGACAATCAGTTTCTGAACAACAGCTATCTCCAAATCAAGCCCTACATGTTTTATGCACAGAAAGTTTAATCTTCACAACAACCTTACTGTCACCCCATTTTACAGAGGAAGCTGAGTTACATTTAATAAGTTCATATAGCTGTACATGGAATCAAAGTCAGGTAGAGCATTTCTGAATGTTTGCTTTTTGCAATCAAGAGGTAAACATTTTAAGTGGAAAAATGGATGTCTAGAGATTCTGAGAAACTAAACAAAACACTGGTAAAGCATAAACAGCAAAATTAGATCAAGAAAACTCAGATGAATCAAAACACCAAAGAAAGGAAAAGAAGTGCAGCGGGAAACAAGCCTAGTCCAAGAGGAACCAAGGCAAAGTATCCACAAGCCTAACACACCCAAGCCAAACCTCAGCGTACGACACAGCTCTAACGCTGCAGCTTATTCTGCTGGGGGACAAGCACAAAACGGCAGGCTAAAAACTACTCAGATCTAGGGACCAAGCATGAGCTGAGCAAACGCTAATAGTACTGACTGTTTTTAATATCTATGTATAACTTTTATTTAATATCTATGCATAACTTGTTCTCAAGTTGTGATTTATAATATCAAAGTACTAGCGTAACTGAACATCCAATCTTTAGTTTGATGATAACCCAAAGAAGCACAAATCAAGAAATTCATGTCAAGAAAATAACTGATATAAAAATGACATCATAAATACTTTTTAAAAAGTATATTGAAATTTTACATCTGAAAAGTTTCATAACTCATTTTTTTCTGTTTCCTAAAGATTCTCACCTGCTCCTCCAGGAAAGAAAAACCTCAGATGAATTCCCTCCTACTTTTCTTCTTCTTTTAGTTTTCCAACCCTTTATTTGTTTTTAAACATTTATTTTTTATTTATGAATATAATAACTGGGGTACAGACCAGAGGTGTAAGGGGTAAGAAGATTCACCAGAGACAGGGTGGGGAGCAGAACAGGCAGACTGACAAAAAATATACTGCTAACCTGAGCAGCAGGTGAGACAGGAGAGGTCTGCTGCACCATGTGGGTCAGCTCCCTGGCCATGGATCAAACTCGTGCTGCAGCAGCTATGTATAGCTTTATAATGCTGTGCTTTAACCCACTGCACCACTAGGGAGGGCCCACGGAGATCTCCTTATGAGGAGGTTATATATATGGTAATTGGTTTCTTTTTGTCTGTTCATAGAAATAATATGCTAACAAATATCTGTAAAATGACAGTTTTATTAACATACAAAACAGGCTCAAATCTGGGAACTTCTACTTCAGACATAAGTTTTATAGGCCCAGGACTACATGGGCATCATGTTGGGTTTAAAACCTCCCTATGGCTCTGCGCCCCTTATCGACTCATTATAAATAACACAGGCAAAGAAAATAGGTGTTCTCACCGTGTGGAGGTGGCCCTTTCTCCCCTAACTTGCTTGCTGCCTCCTTGCTCTTGGGGCCACTGCCAGAAGGCTCAAATAGGGGATCTGAGTCAACCAGCAGAGGCTTTGTTTGTGTCTCACAGTATTTACAACCCAGGAAATTATACATGCATTCGAAATATCTGGATTTCTAGTATTGCTGGGGGAGAAAAGAACATGAGGACTTCGTAAACTCCCAACCACTGGTACCATGCCACTGGGTCTGTGACCTTTGCCCTGAGCAATCCTAGAGAGCACCCTGATCTGTTCAGCAGCTCTAAAGCCAGACAACTTTGCTGTGGTTGGAAAATAGGTTTCAAAAATACATAGGAGTGTGACCTTTACCTCAAACTGGTTTCTAGTTTACTTTGTCTGTTTGTCTTCATTCTGGCTAGATTTAAACTGAGGCCACATAAAACCTTTTTTATTTTAATTACACTTAATCAAACCTTTTAAAAGAGAAAGGAAACAGTGCCACCTAACTGTGTAAGTGGCTTTGTTCTAAAGGGGGTTTTTATATTGCATATTTATTGTCAGCCATAGCCACGTACTTCCTATTCATTTTTATCTCAGTTGAATGGATAAAATTTAGCAAGAAAGCTCAGCAGATGCCATCTTCTCAAATGCTAGTAAAATGTCAAATTTCACTATACTTACATCTTAGAAAATAACAACTCTACCTCTTTTAGGTAATATAGCTAGTGGAGAATTAATAGAGTAAATCTTATTCAGTTAACCTTTAGAAGACCTTTCATATGAATTCTCTTTATATGATACACTGATATATTCAGAATACTAATCATTTTTGTACCCTCACAAAACCACTTCTTTTATTAGAAAAACTGAGTAGTTGATAACCTGTGAAACATACCTTAATTCAAATAAAACTTCTTTTTTTTTTTTTAAGATTTATTTATTTGTGCATACAGAACTGGGGTACAGGCCAGAGGCTCAGGGGCAGCGAGAGGCTTCACGAGAGACAGAGTGGGGAGCAGAACAGGCAGATGGACGAAGTACACTGCTGAGGGGAGCAGTGGGCGGGTCAGGGGAGGTCTGCCACGCCATGTGGTCACCTCTGGGGCAGGCGGGAATCGAATTCATGAGGAAGCGGCTTTAGATTCTCAGCGCTGTGCTTTAACCCGCTGCGCCACCAGGGAGGGCCCACAAATAAAACTTCTTAAATAAAAACAAAGATGCATCTTAAACACTCAGGCTAACAATTATCTACCACTAACACATGTGACCTTGAGAGATCACAGTGAGTTTCTTCACATGTTTAAAGAAAGTAGTAACTGAAACCCACATGGATGCATTCTAAAGGTGTAAAACTGCAGAACTACCAAACATTGTAAAAATATACCTTATACAATACTGAAAAGGAACTGTATAAAGGGAAAAGTACCCTAAGTTAGTATCATGACCTTGAGAAGTTCTTTCTGAGTTAAGTATGCCAAAAAAGGAGACTGTAAATAAGTCTTCCAGGGCTCAGAGTGAGCTTTAAACCCTTTAATATGACAACTTTCTTTGCTTCCCTTACATCTGGCTTAAGCATAAATCCAGAGTAGAGGATAAACCATTAAATGCATTTTGTTTGGGCTTCTCTACCTTTAGCCTATAGATACACAGAATGCAAAAAGTGACAGTAAGGCCAGAGATGACAGCAAAGCAAGATGACTGTAAAAATCTATGGTTTGGTTTTTGTAAACTACCTGGAAAATTTACCAAAAGCTCTGTGTATATATAGGCAATAATGAAGAAAATGCCTTAATGCTCACCCCCAAAATCAATACACACCTCTGAGAACTGTGATCCACAGAGGTTTTCAGAGAGGTATCTTTCAACTCCCTCCTCAATGCAGACAATGACAAAGGCCAAAGTGACAGAGCCACCTGCTTTGATTCCCCTCTTTTCCTCAAGCTCACTGATGAGTGTCAAAAGTTAAGACAACATGCCCTCCATTTTGTACTCGTGGACTAGGGCATAAATTTTTATTGTAAGTTACTACATGTGTTAGCCAACATTCACTCTGGTTGGCATCATTGGACAAAGACTTCACAAGACCACAGTCCTACCTATTAAACACAATTTTACATTATACCTGATCCTAATTACATAGCTTCAAGCAAGCTCAGCTTAGAAAGAAGCTGCTTTTGTATCTCTCAGGAACACTGTCAGTAAGAAGTCCAGTACCACCACATGAAAGTGAGTGTGGAGGTGTGTGGTATATACTTTCACTAATAGCATATTTTTAGTTCTTACAAGTAACCATTTCTAAACATTCCTATATATTCATTTTATTCATTATATCTCATTCTCTGAATTTTTATTAGCTGTCAACCACCATTAACATATTACAAGTGGAAATCTGAGTCCCCCTTGTTTCATATATGATAGTCAAGCTACATTTACATATACAATATGTACTGGAATCCCATCCCATGGCCACTTTCACTCCAAATCTCAAAAACATCCAGGACTACAACTGCACTGAGGAAGAAGGCGTTTTCTAAGCACACATAAAGCACAAATAAAAACAATTTTCAAACAAGGACTAGGATATTATAGTCAAACCCTACGCAAACCATATATACTAAACCATATATACTAAAACTAATTTTCTTTCTCAATCCCTATTTTTAAGTAAAAAGAGAATATGAGATTACAAAAACTCTCACTTTGTTAAGGCAAGACATAATTCCACCTGACATTACCTATGACTCTCCAAACCTGGAGCATAATTTCTTCTTACACATTACTAAAAAGCATTTTTGCATGATTTTTTTTTCCCCAGAAATGCAACTGTATATAATGTGGAGGAAGGTTTTAGTTTATTTCCTGAAAAACATTAGCAAATATTTATCAGAAGATGATGTCACTAAGCACCAGGTGCTCAAAGGCCCCCTTTGCAGATACAACCCTCCCACCCTCTGTGAACATGTTTCTTCTCACTTTCACAATGAGTCTACATCTAGGTAAATTTATCCAATGATTTCACCTTATTTCTAAGTTAATCATGTTCAGCCTTTTCAATATCATTTTATTATAAATTACCTTCCATTTATTTCTTTATTTTTGTAGATGTACTTTACATTGACATTTTTGAAAGTACATATATTTATATTTATGGAAGTTACCTATTTCTTTCATTTCAGGATGCTAAAAGGAGTTTTACAAATACATGTTATCAAAGGTTTGATAAAGTTGCAATGTTAGCTTTCATAAGCATTCATGAACATTCTTCTACCTTGGTCTTTCTACATTAAGTTCAACAAATGGGTTAAAAAAAAATACAAGTGGCAATGCACCTCATGTCATTCATTTAAGCTTTTATATTATGGCTGGCATAATATTCCTGCTACAGGGTAGGAGGAAGTTCAAAATCTGGAAACAAAGCATTTTTTTCCTTATGCCCTCATTAGAGACATTCCCTATATTTAGTCCCAGAAGAAAGAACTTCATTGCCTGCTGGAAAGTATTGTCTTGAGGAGGGGTATTAAAAAGAAAAATCTGTACATTTATTTAATGATAGGAACTTTCAATACAAGAACTTGAAGTAGATTAGGTAAAAAACAGAACAATTTAAAGGTGAGCGAATTAAATCATCTGTCAAAATAACAAACTCTGGTTTTCAGTTTTGACACATATTTAGTGACTCAGTCTTAGGAAATCTTGGAGAATTCTCTGCTCACAGAGATGGATTTACATATATTTTGGTGAATTTACTGTCTTTATTTGCAACGTAACAGTCAATAAAAACAGTGAAAGATGAGGGCATAGATTTCTCAGGTTCCAAAAGTGAACTGTACCTTCTTTTGTGTAATAAGCCAACAGTGGTCTCATGAACAATTCAGAAATAACACAACCACTGAGGACTTCGTTCATCCTACAAGGGACTGATTAAAACCTGGGACATTTTCTTCTGACTGTAGCAAATAGCCTCGGGAGGGGTGCTCTATGATCTTGCTGACAAAGATTTGAACGAGTGTGAAGGTAACTCAGCCCTACGGCCGTGTGACCCACAGTCAGCTCCTATGTGCCATCTGTGGAACAGAACAATAGTGTTCGTTAATTATGAACTTGAGGAGATACTCTCCCTCTTCTCACTCCTACCCTTAGAGCACAGGAACTGGGATTTCTCAAGCCTGAGAGCCAACCCATTAGCACACCCTGTCCTTTCCCAGCTTTATTCTGACAAGAATACCCAGCTGGCAATGCCTGGAATGCAATAGATACTCAAAAATGCTGTGGAATAAATAAATGCATGAATAAGCCATTTTTCTAATGTTACTTTAAAAAAAAACTCACATTGAATCTGTGTCCCTGGTTGTGAGTTTCCTGGGGCAGGATCAGCCCCACAGTGGGTCTGACTCCTCATTTTCCTTACTGCCCCCTCCTTAGGTTGCTGCCCCAGCACAAAGTAAACACTAAGTAAGGGCTTTTAGAGTGAATGAATGCACTCTTAGTAGATGTTTATAATTCCCACTGCAAGTGTACAAACAAACAAACAAAAAAAAACACACTAAAATAAAATTTGACATGCTATTGAACATCACACAACTGCAGGTCTTAGCTATGAAAACAAATGTTAACATTACAACAGAAAACTGCCTGGCCTGGATCTCAAGTCATTGACCAGCTCTGCTATTGCTCAAATGGATAAACACGGGCAAATCAGAGCATTCAATGGGCTTTCATTTAGGCATTGCTACAAGAGGATACTGAATTAGAAATACATGTGACAAAATTTTCATCCTCACTCACTATTAGAAAAAAGCTATAAAGCAAGTAAAGACCACAAAGATTGAAAAGATAGGATTTAATTTGTCTTATCAATGTGGTAAAACACTGAAATATTTTATAACTTGTTTTAGCTTTCAAAATTTTATTAACAAATTATTTTGTTATTTTACCATGGTTTGATTAACAGGAGAAGCAGTTGTATTTGGCTAGTCATACAAGACAAGTCAATAAAAACTATGTTAAGAACTATTATTTGCAAGCATGAGGAAAATGAGTTTTGAATTAATATGAAGATCTTCAAATTAGTTTGTGATTGGACTCATATTCTGCTAGAATGACTTTTAACTTGGGCACACTGTTTAATACAATTTCATCTCTGACTTGTCATCT